TGGGGGAGGGGGCAGGATTGGAGGTGAAGGGCCATGGTGGTTGGCTGGCTGCCTCTGCACCTGATCGGAGTGGGTGGGCCGATCTGGGGCAGGGCCAGCCAAGGGGAGGGGCGATTAGGGTTAAGGCTGGCTGAGGGGAGGGGCTGCAGGCCGATCAGGGTAGGGGGGCGATCAAGGGCAGGACCAGCTGCGGGGGAGAGGTAGCAGGAAGTTGACCGGCTGGACCCACCCCCTATTAGGGGTCAGCGGGGGAGGGGCGGCAGGAGGTTGGCCGCTGGCCCCACCCCCTGATCGGGCTGAGTTTGCTGGCCGCAGTGGGTGTCATAGCGACCAGTCATTTCGGTCATTACTGCGTTATGGGTGCTGGCTTTTTATATATATAGATTATGGTATGTTACTGAGAAACATCTATGTGATGCAGATGAAAGAACACAGAACAAAAGTCATGGTCAAGTGTCACTTTGTATCTGTGTGGCCCTTAACCAATTTCTCCACTCAGTTTCCTCTTCTTCAAATGTAAAAATAATACAAGTTTTGCATATATTTTGCATATATATTATTTCAGAATAAAGTGAGAATGAATATGTATTCATTTTGAAATTTGTGAAGTGCTGTTCAGATATAATTAAATATTATACATACACAAATAAAAACAAGCAATATTGTAACCTTACCATACACATAGCCTATTAAACCATGGAATTTGGGCCGAAACCAGTTTGGCTCAGTGGATAGAGCGTCGGCCTGTGGACTGAAAGGTCCCAGGTTCGATTCCAGTCAAGGGCATGTACCTGGGTTGCGGGCCTATCCCCAGTGGGAGATGTGCAGGAGGCAGCTGATCGATGTTTCTCTCTCATCAATGTTTCTAACTCTCTATCTCTCTCCCTTCCTCTCTGTAAAAAATCAATAAAATGTATAAAAAAAACAAACAAAAAAAACCCATGGAATTTGGATGCTGATGTCAAAGATATTTATCACTTCATCCAGAACCTGATACCATATTAAAGATATGAAAACAAAAATGGAATATCCTTTCTGTTTGAAATATTGATATAGATGTTAAATTCATGTACATAATTGTAATTGTTTGAAGAGATCATTTAACAGGCATCTCATAGTTCATTCAAGAACTATGGAGACATTGCGATCACATGGTCCTTTATCATTTTTAAAGACAGATCCCTTTGAAAATCTAATGAAAACTAAGGATCTTCTCCCAGAAAAATGTTTGTATCTTATATAAACAGAATTTTGCGAGGAATTTCAGAGGTGTTCATATGACTGGCATTTAGTAAGACTTCGGTGATAAGGCTCCCTTACTTTCACATTTCTGGGTTTTCTAGACTATTATGGCCTCCACCTATTCCTTGATTTAGCTACATTCCATCTAAAGTCTGTCTCTTTAACAGTCTTAATCCCTGTGTTCAGACTACCCTCACTATTGCCATTCTCTACATTTTTCATCAGTGCTTATCCCCAGTGCAGGCAGTAAGGGGGAGAGGGAATGTAGGGGAAGGAGCATGAACCAGGCTAACAAATGTAAGAAGCAGACGAAGGCTTTGGACAGAAGTGGCGGTTGTAGGTAGTTCCAGTATTAGCAGATGAGGTTGCAGCAAGGCTGAAACAGAGGCCAATAGTCTGAGAAACTAAACTGTTAAAATTTTCACTGATTTACAATTCTAATCCGAAACAGTCAAATATTTGAAATTATTTGTTACTGTGTTCATTTGTAAGCAGCTGTCCATTGAGATTCTCTGTAATTTAACCATCTCCTACCTTTAATAATATAATATAAACTGATTTTTAAGATGTAAAATACTGTAACAGTGTATGGGGTTGTCATGCTGGATTATAATATGGTTTGATGTGATGTAAAGAAAAGTTGCACAACATCACATCTGTTGTATGCAATGCCAGCCAGCCCTATGGACAAACAGGCCAAAGTTCTTTTTCTCTATTAATCCATGTAACAACTAAATATTTTTCCAGGTTTGGAATTTTAATCCCCAGATTTTCTACTTTTGCTTCTAAATCCTCAGCTTATTTAACACTTTTTTTTTTTATCATTTCACCAACAGTACTCAGTTTTTAGTATCTTCAGACAATAAATAAATTGGCATCTATTAACAACAAAATCGAAGGTCAATATTTTAAAGTGCAAACATATTCTTAGAATACCAGAGAGTATGTTCTTATTTTGTAACTTCAGCAACAGTCACCCGAGATCTTCAAAAGTGTTACTGTTAGAGTAAGGGCATGTAAGTTCTTTGTAAGCCAGATGGAGTCACTATTGTGGAAGTTTGCTTTTTATTATCTGATGGTGGTTTAAATTTTTATATGCTAGTGCCAACATGATCCAATGAGAGTCTATTTTTAAAATAAAATCTAGAAGAAGGTAGCAAACTACTTAATAATGAATGTGAAGAATTGAATTAGCATATTATTTTATGTTCTTAAAAAAATTATTGGTATTGCAAGGTGAATTTTTGTAGTAATATTACATGTTGATAACCGACACTGATTTTAAGATTTCCGCATCATATAAGCAGAAAACACCGGGAACAGAGATTTAAGGTGCAGAGATGCTGCTGAGGCAGCATTAACGTGAATTAGATTCCTCTTAGGTAGTGCTCAGTGGAAGGGGATGTGCATATGCAGGGTTTAAAGAAACTTAAAAGCGTGAGAGACATTTTTAATTTAGAATGCCAACAGGCATCGTTTGATATCCGAAGTATAGCTTGCAATGTTTTTTCCTACGAGATTTCATCACCATTCAGAATGCTTTCTTGTTTAAATATGATACTATATTTATATATACAATTCATAAAATAAACAGTAGATGATAGAGAAATCACTTTTTTTAGAGGGAGAAAGAAACATATGATATAAGGAAATAGAACATGCTATGAAATTCAAAGCTTCTACTTACTGTATTTTAACTAATTTTTATTAATCTTATATTTGTTTTGTTAAATTAGGGTCACTAGTGTTAGTAGATTAAAACTTTTTATGATTCTTTTCATCTGGAACTATTATTTTTCAGTTTCTTTATCTTGTAGACCACTGATGAATTCTTCAATTTCTTCAAGTGACTCTTTTTCAAATTTTATAACCATTTAATTTTCTAGTAATAGCATTCTACAGAAAGAAGTTAAAGTGAATAGTTTCTCAACATAAATAAGTATATTAGAAAGCAGATTTATATTGCTGTGCTTTGAAGAGGAAGGTCTTTGTGGACATTTAAAACACCAAGGAATTATAAAGCCATGGTGAAGAGCAGGCTAGTAAAGCAAGATATCTTTCTTTGCTGATGTGCCATCAACTGAAAATTAATATGAATTAGTCCTGTAGCTAACAGTGAGCTGCAGGTACTAACTTCCCTAAAACACTGAAATAGGAAGTGGTAGAAGAAACTGGTAAAAGAAACCCCAAGGGCATCCTCTTTTTTACCCACTATGATCCCTTTAATCCTTGCATTGTCAAACCACATGAAAAATAACAGAGCTGCACAGTTCTAATACTTAAGTGAAATTATCTTTTAAAAATAAAATGTTAGGTCTTTTCATATCTCCGGACAAGAATAAGGCATGTATTCCATGCAGAAAGAGTAACTTGGAACAAGAGATGCATATTGCTTTTGTATTTTTAACACAATATTATTATCTATGACTAAGCAGGCTGCACCCAGTAGAAAAAAATTATAGGCAATATTTATTTTCTGTTTTTGAAACAGATGATTCAACGAGAAGCAGATGTAAAAAGCAAGGTAACTGCTGTGGCACTGACAGACTCTGTTCACAATGTGTGGCATCAAGAAGCTGGCAAAACCATTCGAGAGTGGATGAGAGAGGTGAGACTGGGTTTTTCCAATGCTGAGATGAATGAGTGTGAGCCTTATATCCTGATCCCCCACCAACATATATTACCTCCCACCCTCAAATGCCCTTTCTAGAGGCAGAACATTGAGAGGGAATAGAAAAAAAACTAGACATATTTGAAATAATAAGAGAAAACCCTTCTGAAGAACAAATACTTTGAAAGCCCTCTTGCCTTTTTTGGTTTGCTATAGAATATTACATATGCACACAGTATACTGTAGGAGCTTTGGCTGAAGAAGGTCATGATCTGTTAAGAGGTTATTAGCCCCTGATATTTAATTTTCCCACTGGTGCACTTAATTACAAGAAAGAAACTTGGCTGTACTCTGGTCTCCTCCTTCCCTGAATTCTTAAGTGGATTGGCTCACCACTGCCAGTAGGGGGAGAAGAAATAAAAAGCAGAAATAGTGTTTTGCCAGACTCTTGAGCTAGAAGAAACCCTAGAGCTGGTCAGGATCCAGCCTCCAGTTAAGAAAGCTTCTTGTCATTTTTTTAAGGGCTAGTGAACTTGAAAACTAACAGGGACTCATTGACTATGCTACCACTTAAAAAAAACAAAACTTTCAGCCCATTATTTCCTTTATTTCTATCTATATATACAAAAGCCTAAGCATTCATTACGATGGAACAACTGGAACGACTGATTGCTATGGTGTGCACTGATCACCAGGGGGCAGACACTCAATGCAGGAGCTGCCCCCAGCCTGCAGGCCCTGATTGCTGATGGAGCCTGCCAGCAAACCTCCTGGTCCCTATCCCCAGCCTGCAGGTCCCAATGGCCCAATCGGGGCCGAGCCCCCTGGCTGGGATGGGAAATTGGAGAGAAGGGGGTGGCGGCGAACATGGCCCCATTCCCCTGGAGGCCGAGGGCCAGCTCCCTCCTTGGGACCAGCAGCCAACTTCCCAGGATTCTCCCTGCAGCTGGCAGGCCCTGATTGGCCCACTGCCTGCCCTCTGTGGTGGATCCCCCCCCTCCCCAAGCCGGCAGGCCCCAATTGCCTGATTGGGGCCAGGTCCCAGGCTGGGACGGGGAACTGGGGGCAGGCAGTGAGGAAAGGAGGAGGGTGAAGGCGGGAAGGCAGGGAACCGTGCGGTGGCAGCATGCAGGCAGGGAGGGAAGGAGGAATTGGTGAGGCGGGAAACCTGATCATCCCTGATCGCTGGCCAGGCCTAGGGACCCCACCGGTGCATGAATTTCATGCACCAGACCTCTAATTATAGGTAAACAGCTGAAGTTTTTATTTATATTTACCTTTCTGATATTATAAGCAATTGACATCAGCCACATCATGCTATAGCAGTTGTTTAGTCAGATCACATGCTTATATGAATAAGCTGGTTGACCTAGATTTTTTCTCAGTTTTTGTTGATGGAACACCCAGACATTTATTCAGCTGACCTCTCACCATAGCTGTGGTGGGTAACATCTACCAGCCCTCATGGTGCATGGTAAGGACTGAGTTGACATTGGAAGAGTTTCAAAAACTAGGACTAGGCTATATAATCCTATAGTGGTGTTATCATAATACCACCTATCTGTTTACACTGTTTTTGTCATTCCCCAATAGAAAAAGTACCTTTATCATAAAAAGTCCAAAATAATTTTACTCCATTCCTCATAATGCTGTAAACATAAAAAGGTGGATTTATTTTCATCTAGTCTAACTCCCAGGTGTTTTCTGACCACATTAGTTTTCATATTTCTTCATTTGCATGTATCTGAATCCTTAATTGTCTCTTCCAAGGGCTTAAACTTTTTCTAGAGACATTTTATGTATTTCATGCTGATACTTTTTTGTGTGCTATTTATCTGTCCAAATGGATACATGAACAGCTTCCAGCCCATGTGGAATTTAGGACCTGTACCAAACTAGAAACATCCTGTTCATTATTTTTTCAACTGGGCATTCTTTGTGTCTCATTCTAGATGACAAATATAACACTATTTATTTAGGTTTACTTTTTTAGGTATTTCTAACTAAAACTAGATAAGGTGTCCCCTTCCAAAATCAGAATATATTCTTTGGATTTTATCTGACCGAAATAGGCAGTAATTTAAAGCCTCTTAATGTAATCAAAACTGCCAATTATTTCTTTGCTAACAGCCTTTGTTAAAAACATTCTAATGTTATAAAATTTTACAAATGACCTATCTCTTGAAATAGTTCCTTCAACTCCCTTGATTATGCCTTTGGCATGAAGCAGCATGAAGAGTTTTGCATTATGACATACCAAAATTCAAACCCCAGCTCAATTCAAACCTACCTAACTGTAGTCTTGGGCAAGTTGTTTAATATCTTGGATATTCTCTCTAAAATATAAAACCTACCTTGTAAACATTGTTGGCACTGTAAAGAAGTTTAATAAATCACAGCTATTGTTGTTATAGTAACCTTCACATCCCCAAATAATGTGAAATACATGAACTGTATTTTCTTTTTGTTTTATGAATGGTTTTCCTATTCAAAATATCTTACAAAAGGTATGGGTAGGGAGTTAGGAAAACTGAATTTTGATTATGCTCCTGGCTTACTCGTTAGGTAAATAAATAATTAGAGATCAAGCATGTACCAGATACTTTGCTTAGACTTATAGTCTTGGGAAAGCCACTTTTTTGTTCTTCTGGGCCTAGTTCGTAATTGTGAATTAGACATAATTTCTATTCTATCTACTTCCTGAACTATTTTGAGAATCAAAGATGATGAGCAAGAAAAAAACTCCTTGAAAAGCAAATGATACTATTTAAATAAATGAAATGTGTTATTATAGAAAACACTATAATATCCCGAAGATAAAAATTATTAGATCAGAGTTGATAGAGCTTTGAAATTATCCCTGCTCAGAGTTCATCCCTAAAGCAAGAACAAAATCAGAAACTATAGAAGACTAGGCCAGGTGTCCTTGTAAGAACTCACTAAATGTGTGACCCCCGCCTTGTAGATAATTTATGTGGTTTGGCAAGATAAGAGTCCACTGTTTTCCAACACTTAGGATGAAACTTCATCCTCTCTTCTTTCACCTTTATTAGTCCTTGTCTATTCTGCAAGACTCCTTGAAATAATGAAGGCAAACAAGCCTGGGGTCAGTAGACAGAAAGGATGGTTGTCTTGAGCACGGGGATTGGGAGAAGGTGTGGTAGGGGAGCCTTTGTGTCCCTTGGCGTCCACCTCCTCCTCGCCTCCTGCTCTAGCCTCATTTAGAATCATCTCAGAAACTGAGATATTTTGCAAATATCCCTCCCAAGAAAAACACCTTAGCCAAACTGGAATGTCTTCCCTAAAAATAGCAGTGGCGTTATAGATGAAGCCACAATGCTTTCGGCCTCATGACTGGCTCCATTATTTCACCCAACACCACTTTAAAATGTGAAAGTAGGACAGTAGTACAAGTTGCCCACTCATTCCTGTTAGATTGCAAATTAGTAAAACTGTCTTTTGTTTTGTAAGCCAGTTTAAATTAATATTTTAAAGTTACTGATGTTAAGTACTTGTTTTCTATAGAGAGCTGATTTTTCAGTCCTGTTCATTAGCATACATAAAGAATGTTAAGTACTATATTTTTGTATTACTTGTATAATTGTAAAATAACAATTTCCTTTAAAGAAAGAAGGTCAGAGAGGGTTACTTTTGGCAATTATTACAAGTGAAACCTACTCCCAACCAAAAGACCCAGTGCACATACTAACCAGCCTCATGAGGAGAGGTCAAAGGTGGCCAAAGGCAGCTCCTGAGAGACACTTCTCACCTCAGGCTCCAGGATGTAAAGGCTGCATGGGCAAGGATGATCCTGGAGACTGTTATGCCAAGTGCAATAGCCAGACATAGGAAGGAAAATTCTCCATAATCTGACATATATGTGGAATCTAAAAAAGTAAGCACACAGAAGAGAGTAGGTGGTGACTACCAGTGGCAGGGAGGTGAAGGAAATGGGGAGATGTTGGCCAAGAGTACGAAGTTGCAGTTACGCAGGTTACCTAAGTTTAGAGACCTGATGGTCAGCATGATGACTGTACTTAACAATATTGGATTGAACACTAGAAATTTGCTAAGAGAATAGACTTCAGTTTTTCTCAACACACACACACACACATACACACACACAAATCTATGTGAGATTTGTTATTTAGCTTGACTATAATAAGAAAACATTTCACTATATACATATATATCACATCATGTTATATACCTTAAATGTATAATTTTTATTTTAAAAAATAAAAATAGAAAAGGCTGAGTGGGCAAATGTCATTTTCTGCCTTACCCCTAGCTTTTGAAAGTCTCAAGCCAACCCAGATGTATGGTTCTCCATAGCGGTCAGGAACCCTTACCTATTGCCATGCAGCTCTGTGTGTCGGTGCTGGACACTCAGACTGGTGAATTGTTCTTGTTGTATGAGGAGACAATACCTGCCACATTAAAGATCGGTGCCTAAGGCATTGATGATTTACTACTCAGACAAATGAAATAAAAGTGAATCAAATCCTAAACTCCAAATACTTCCAAATACCTTGCATAGGCATACCTACTATCTATTTTCTCTTTAAACATAATATACTTTTATTAAAAAAATTAATTCATTTCATATCTACACTAAAATATTGCAAACCCTTGGTTCACATGTCAAAGAGTCACTCAGGACTGTGGCCAAAGGCACTTCTAATCATTAATAATAGTTTCCAAGCTTTTGGATTTTACAAAGAAGACAATTTACAACCCCCAAATCCCATAAGGTCATCATTTCAGAGTAAAAGACCTTTAAATTGAAAACACTTAACTTTAAGAAACACTCACTTACAGTAACTATTTTTCTCTTTTTCCCTCAGACCCAGAGAAACTCTAGTTACATGATCCATCCTCGTATGCTGGCTCTGGTCCAGAGCTTCTTTCTTCATGCTTGTTGGTTGGGATTAGGCTCAGGCATGGCTCTGTTGGTACCTCTAGTCCAGTATGCCCTGTGTTGTCTGCTTGGGCAC